AAATTAATTGTTGATGATTACTGACAAATTCTATTGTTTATAACTTTATAGTCATTTAATTTCAAAATTTTGATCAAATCACTGAACATTTTCCTGTAGTTGATGTTTTTAACACAATGTTTCAGCCAATTCATTCTTTGACATTATTTTTTTTTGTAAAAAATTGTGACAGAAAATTAAGTCATTATTTATGAATGGAATCAGTCTATTTAGGCAGTGATAGCTTGATGCACCTTTCAAAAGTGAATAAGGTGGGATATATTAGTTTATCAAACAGGTAGACAAAGTGGGCTAGCAATGATTTAATCAGCATGTGTCATTCTTTGCTTACCAAAGAAGGAACTGAAGAACTTATTAATATATAGTTTGAAATTATCGGGATATATGAGTGACAATATAATTATCTGGACTTAGTTGGCTGAAGAAAATTAGGAAATTTTTACTTACAAATTCTATTTACATGAAGTTATTGATCATTAAGGAATTTATTAGTTTGCAGACTTCATTCACAAGTTTTACAGATTCTATACTTTGTATGTAAATGCATTTTTCATCAGCTGATAATATTGCATTCATCTTGTAGGTTTCATCAAAAATTATGGGAAGTAACATTGAATTTTTAACAAAGCTAAGCATATAAATACATCTATAAATACAGCATATAAATAAATACATCTATAAATACAGCATATAAATAAATAAGCATATAAATACATCTGGTTTGTGTGAGTACAAATATTCAAAAATGAGAAAATCCAGTGCATTACTATTTAAATTATCAAAATGACTCTGGTTGGTACCAAATTGTGGTTAGTGTGTCAAGTTGAAAAAAATTCAGATCCCGTTTTAAATATCATTGTTCAAATTCAGTTATATTTCTTTATTACAAATATGTAATGTATGGACAGATCTGCTGGGTGATAAAGCTAATAAATCTTTTGCTAAAAGCAGATATAAAAAAAAAGCTGATAACATTGATTCAGATGGAAAATGTTTTGAATGAAACTTATAAAAGTTTTGTTTAAAAAGTATTGTTCTTGTCTATTTACATCTTTTAATATTAATGAAGGCAGCAGAAACAGAATAATATATCTGAATAATATGTGATTTAATTTTCTCCTTAAGATCTAAAAATGTTCTGAGCTTTTCCTAAATTGGGATTCAGACAGTGATAAAGTGAGCTTATTATAGTAGTTGATCAGGTTTTATTCTGAATTGAGAGTTTGCATTTCTTGATGTTATAATACAAAAATATATAAAAATTATATATATATATATATATATATATATATATATATATATATATATATATATGTATGTATGTATATATATCATACAATAGAATTAAAAGATTAAATTAGGTGATGATCATTATAACCTTGTAAACTGGAATAATAATTTACAAGGATTTTCAAACCAGTCAACAGATGACAATTTATGGCAAATTATCCATTGACTGGTTTGAAAATCCTTGTAAATTATTATTTCAATTTACAAGGTGATAATGATTCCCACCTAATGTAATCTTAATTTCTGTTGTATGAAATATGTTGTTCTGTTTAATTAAAATGTTAAATATTAAGCTCTATGTGTGAATCAGTTTTAATATTTAATATTTTATATTGTATTAATAGGATTCACTTGGATTATATACCATGACCTGTATATATATATATATATATATATATATATATATATATATATATATATATATATATATAGTTAAGTTATGAAGAACTTGGTAATCCGTATGGGTAATCCCAAGGAGGATGAAATCCTGAGAGCTCAATGTAAATCCAGAGCTAATATTTTAAAGAAAAACAGACCACTTTAACATACCATTATAATAATTTATTTCACCAGAACCCTTTTAAAGGATGCCGGATCATCAGATAGCACTTCCAAAAATGAAATGAAGTGCTATCTGATGATCCAGCATCCTTAAAAGGGCTCTGTGAAATAAATTATTATAATGGTACTTTAAGGTGGTCTGTTTTTCTTTAATATATATATATATATATATATATATATATATATATATATATATATATAATATAAATATACAGCTTTATATATGATAGGATAAGAAACAAATAAGAAACATTTATAAATTCAATGTTTCACTTTTATTTAAGCTTCATCAGAAAATGAAATATGGAGAAGAAAAGAAAATTCTGGTATTTTTATTAATGTGTTGTTTGTCCTGCCAACCAGTGTCTGTATGCATAATTCATATCTGTACCCATTTTATTCAGATATTCATTAGTTTTCTTCTAATGTAATGGAGCAGTATCACCTTTTGAATGTCTTTGGTTTCTTCTTGAACCTTGACATTACATGTGCCTTCAAAATATCAATACATATCTGAATTGTCATTTAAAAGCATTTGGAACTTTCCATAGGTCAACCCTTACATATAATCTCAATTCTTTGCTCCATTTATCTAGTTTATCAAAGTACTGTATTCTTCAGTTAAAAGAATGGTTGAAAAACTGGTCTTCATATATTCTTTTATCTATTTCCTTTGATTTTCATTATGAATGTCTTTTCAATGAAGTGTCATGATTGGTCTCATATATTTTGTTATGACACTTGCACTTTTTGGCACTCCTTCATTGCCGCAATGCCTGATAATTTCATAACTTAATAAAGACAGTTCTTATATAACTTCTCTCTTGATATGAGACAAAAACTGGTAAAATAATGTATTACATTTTTTTTTTAATCAGTATCAGCCCCTGCAAGGAAATAAAGCCCCTAAAACACAAGGAGTTACAGTGTGTGGAGGAATTAGGTACAGAAACATTAATAATGAATGGAAAGAGAAAAGAGTAATCAGGAGGATAGTAGATAGCAATTCACATTGCATTTAATTTTTTGCAGATTAAAATTGGTTGGAAAGCATGGAGCCAGAAGGAAGTTCCACAAACAAGAAGTGTGAGAAAAGAAACTGTTTGTATAGAACTTATGGCTACATCTAGCCAGCTCAACTGTCAAGTGATGAGATCTCAATGCCAGTCTAGTATTGCGCTTAAATTCATGAATCTAGGTACCATGTGGAGGCATGGTGGAGTAATGGATAGCAGTTTGGATTCAGGAATCGGAGAGCACAGTTTGAATTATAGTTGAATCCATTACATGCCTGGGAAAGGTATGAATCCTCTTCTTCTTCCTCCCCCCCAGCTATGGATAAATAGCAAGATAGACCGGATTCTATAGCCTTGGATGGCAACTGGTCTACCACAGAAAGAAATGGCAACCTACTGCAGGAAAAAAGTCAGCCTCATCAGTCATTTATTGAAAGATACATGATCGCCTAAGCATGTATCACACATGGCACATAACTGACTGACTGACTGAGGTACAATAGTGAAGAGCAATATTTATTCTGTTATCTACAGAAATGTGGCACAAGGCCGAAAAGGGGATTGGGGAAAGGATGGTCTTCTTCTGTCTTAACTATAACTTAGCTAGCCACAAACACTGACCCAATCGTACGAAACAATATTCCTTACACCAAAACAACACATTCATACGTACCTTTCTTACTACAACCACCATAATACCTCTTTGACTCTATGAAAATACTAACTAGTCCCCATATTTACAATTTGATGTCTGTGGGAGGAGAGGGGAATAAAACAACAATAGTGAAGAGCTCATCCTAGTGATTACCATGAAAATATTTATAGAAAAGGTGTGGAAAGTCACCCTTATGGTGGTGGAAATTTGACTGATGCTGAGGTACCAGATCAGGACCTATAATATTGCTGATTGTTCTTTGGATCTTCTTGAGGAGCTCTAGGTAAATAGCAAGGGCACCAGACCATATGTGGCAGCAATATTCTAAGCATGAAGAAATGATAAACTTATAGATATGTAATATAGACTCTGGAAAGAAAAATTGTCTCACATGACACAGTGAACAGTGCAGATTTGCATTGGAGTGGACCAGGATCTTCAATGCACTTCACAATCTCTTTTTACAATTTCTATCATTGTTTTACATTTTGCAAAATCTGAAACCATTAAACATTTTCCACCAAATTAACCTTGCAAGTCATTTTAAAGCCTCAAACTCACAATACAGCTATTAGTTTGTAACATCAAAATTTAAGATATTTCACACAAATGGTTGCCATTTGTTTACATCTGTGCTGAGGAAACAGCTTTTGTCAGAGATTTCTTGGTTGTCATTATTCAGCAGATAAGCATTTAGGGGCCCAAAAGTATTTATTTCATATCAATAAAATATGAAGTAGGTTATAATGTGAGATACCATGCATATATAGATTTGTGTGTGTGTGTGTGTGTGTGTGTGTGTGTGGACAACAAAGTGATCTAAGAAAGGACATAGTGTTGTAAATGTCACTACTACTTTGTTTTACCCATGCTTTGGTATTTTGGAATTATGTATAGTTCTATATATGTAGAGTGTGTGCAGCCCAGGGCAGGGTGTGTGCTGCCCGGAGCAGCCATTAAGTTTACTATAAGTTTACTACCCATTCTCCTACCACCAGCCTCAGACAAAAATACAACATATTTCACAGTGACTCCATATATATATATATATATATATATATATATATATATATATATATATATATATATATATATATATATATATATATGTGTGTGTATATATTTTATATATATATATATATATGTATTGTGAAACCTGTGAATAGATCCAGAGTGCATTCTTTTAATGTTACAGCATATGCCTCTCTCTCTCTCTCTCTCTCTCTCTCTATATATATATATATATATATATATATATATATATATATATATATGAAGTCACTGTGCAATATGTTGTATTTTTTTGTTGAAGACTAGTGGTAGGAGGTGATATATATATATATAAACTCTTAACAGACTTAAAAGACACTTACTCTCAAATAAGTTTTTGTTTATGAAAACAAAGAAAGTAACTAAAATTTATAAGAAAACAACTAAGATGTGTCTCCCATACACAGCAGTACTGTGGCATTAAAAGAATGCATTGTGAATCTATTCGCAAGTTTGTCATTGTCAACAATGATAAAACAGCCCTGAATTCATCACTGGATAATGGTTATTGTTAAGCCAAGATAACAATCACTTAAATACAATATGCAATAGTTTACATATAAATGCAATAGTTTAAGTTACACAAAATCCAAAAAGTTCTTCAAATGTGAATAGTGAACTAACCACTTTTATTTCAATACAGCCTATACTGGCTTATACAACAAACCCAAAATCGCTGCCTAGGTTCAAATGGTAAAAATAGGATTAAAAGCATTCTCTCCACTGGATTGTGACATAAAGAGTTATTTACCTAGACTACTCCTAAGTTATAAAGCTATTCCATATGAAGTTAAAAGACAAAGCCCATCTGCATTGATGGGAAGACAAGTAAGTGCTCTGATTACTATATCATTGGCAATGGATGAAAAAGTGTGGTACAGAAAAGACAAGAATTCAAGTCCTGAAAAGGCAAATTTTGTGGTTCAAGAGGGATTTAACACATCTGTGTTAACAAAGGATGGACAGGGCATACTGGCTCATAAAGAACAATTTAGAATCACATGAGAACATGGAAAAGGAGGAGGAAAAGGAAGCAGAAAAACAGACGATGAAAGAAAGGATGAATGAATCCAATATTGAGAGTGATCAGGAAGACCACCAGAGATATGAAAGTGAAGAACAGGAGAGGGAGGAGAGAATAAGTGTATCCTGTAGTAGTGACAAACAATCTGGGAATGATAGTAATCAGGGATATCATGATGATTCAAATGAGGAGAATCAGTTAAGACTTAGATCTCCTATAAAAAGAAATAAAGAGACTCACTCTGAGAGATGGATTATGTCTCCCAGGGTTGTTCGAAGAAGTCAAAAATTAGCTAAAGATATAAAAAACCTCTTAGGTTCAGGGAGGTGTAGTGATATGTAAATTAAGTACTGTATAAAAGACAGTATTGCCATACTTACATCTGTCAAAGAGAATGCCTATCATAAAATATTCAAAAATGCGTAAATCAGTGCATTACAATTTACCTTCTCAATATGGCTCTGGTTGGTTCCATATTGTAGCTAGTGTGTCAAGCTGAATAAAATTCAGAATTGTTTTATGTATCATTGTTCACATTCAGTTATATTTATTTATTATGAACACACAATGTATGGACAGATCTGATAGGTGATAAAGCTTATAAATCTTTTGCTAAAAGCAGATATAAATAAAATCTGATAACACTAATTCAGATGGGAAAATGGACTTCATTTAGAAACTAGCTTTAAACATCAAAGGAATTAGACAAAAAAAATGAGTAGTCAATGAATTTAGAGATTTTCTCCCCTGGAACTGATGAATTTGTATTTGAGGACATTTAAATTGATTATTTTTGATATTATCAAAATAATATTATATATTATTGTCCTAGGTCAATGTCTTTTTTTATTTATATATTGACTGAAAATAAATTGCAACACCTTTAAAACAAATGCCATTAGGTAGTAAATATTCTGGTAAAATGTTTAGTCTTTAGCTGTCTTCTGACATAGTATTACTCATATTAGTGAACTACCTGTATTTAAGGTTTAGACAGTCAGCAATACTGCAATAGAATTCAGTGAAGTGAAAGATTTCTGTGCAAGTAGGTGTCATGTCAAGGAAACAGACATACATCACTTTTGTTTAATTAGATGCAAATTATTCATCTTCAAGCAGATGTCTCGACATTTTGGAGAATTCCTAAAAAATGTTGTATGTAATGAATTAGTAGTGCATCAATGTTGGCTAAAGTATTGATATAACACTGTAGACCAGGTTCTGGGTGGCCATATAATATAGACATTTGCCAAGAACATAAGAGCTCCAGTCATATTCTATCCACAATAGAGACCAAAAATAAATGTACCCTCAGTTCCTGCATATTAAAAAAGAAAACTGTAGAGAAACATTGTTGTTTAAATCAGCATTTTTTAACATGTACTCTAATGTGCCCTGAAAGGTAGCCACATGTGGCCCAAGTTAACAGAAAAGTAATTTGTGAATTAATGTTAAAAAATTTTTTATTTATATAAAATCTTTATTTTTAAAAGGCTAGAGACACCAAGCATAAGTCAAGTCTTTGTCATTTCAAATTAGATGCTAAATTCTTTAATCTTTAAGGAATGGATAATCCTTTTTTTTTTGTCTTACTCAAGGAAAAACATATAAGGTGTAACATTTAAAAAATTTCCAATCAAACATGTTTCATTGAAAACCACCATACTTAAATATACAATGTAGTGTCTTAAAAATAAATGCTTATTCCAGGAGACTTTTTTTATAAGTTTCATATTTCATGACTAATTTTTTCTTATTAAAATTTAAAGTGCACCCCAGAGTTTTAGTTATTCTACAAGTGCATCATGAAGTAAAAAAAAGTTGAGAAACCCTCAAGTGACATAACCTTTAACAATTATTATCTTATTAAGCCTTTATTTGGATCTTGTTTATTTTTACCAAAAATGATTTAAAAGAACATTTTTCAATGTCTAAGATAACAACATATTTTAAAAACTTTCAAAAGTATTTATAAAAGTTCCAAGGTTTTTCCAAAATATGACTTGTAATTAGATTTTTTTTGTAATTGATAATCTTTATTTTACCTAATATTTCTTAAAATCTTTTTTTCTGATGTTTACAGTTAATACACATATTAAAATTAATGTTCTCTCTAGGCTTTTTTTTTAAATTTTATATTTTTCCTTAGACTTTAAAAAAATTAAACATTCTTTTCATTGCTTTATTTTTTTTTATTGTTGTTTTTTTATTTTGTGCTTATTTTTTACTGCAGATTGTCATTATGTCTAAACCTGTGATTTTTTCCATTTTTGTTCCATAATTATCTCCCTTGTGTGCTAGTCTTATTGGGCACATCAGAGCAAGCTTCCATTGCAATATTGAATATGTAAATGAACACACTTCCACTTCACAGTCTTTATGTCTCTTTTGATGCAACAATCTCTTCATTTGCATTTTGTTTCCTGCAGCAGAATTGATTCCTGACTTTCTTAAATCCACTTCTTATGTATTTTTAATGATATCATCATCATCATCATTGTCATCATTGTTATCATCATTATCATCATCATCATTTCTAAGTTTTTCTTCTTTTTTATTATTTTTTTTTACTCTCCCTCTTCTCATTATTTCTATTTTTCTTCTTTTCCTGCTTTTTTTTTATTATTTATTCTTTTTCTCTTTCATTTGTTTCATTATTTCTAAGCTTTCTTTTCTTAACCTCAATACCTTTTCATTTTTATTCTTTATATTTTTTTCTTCTTCTTTTTTTTGGTCTTTTTCTGCTCTGTCATTATTCCTTTCTCAATTTTATTCTCTTTTTTCATATTCTCTTATTCCTTTATCATATTTCTTCCTTTTTTCCATCCTCTTTTAGTTTTTTCTTCTTTTCCTTTATCTACCACTCCTATTCATTTTTAGCCCTCAACTTTGTTTGTTTGTTTGTTTCTTTCTTTCTTTCTTTCTTTCTTTCTTTCTTTCTGTTTCTCTTTTCTTTTCTAATTTTCCTTTCCCTTCCCTTTACTCTTCAACCATTTTTTTTATGTTATGCTTCTCTTCATTTTTATCTTTTTGCTCTCTCAATCTTTTTTCTCAAAAATGCCCATCCAGACCAGATCAACAAACATGTTGGATTCCATTTTTCCCCATTTTAGGCTATTTTTCAAATCACTTATTCTGAGTTTCTTTCTCAACCAGCCAAATTAATGCTTGAGCCATTCTAGAGTTACCTATTTTCACTTGCAAATGATACTTATTTCCCTCAAGCTGATTGCAATAACACAATTCCTCCGGCTTCTTCCAGGTGAGCTGTAATTGTGGCAATTATCTGAAGAAGAACATCATTCAGGTTTTGAAAGTGCATTAATCCATTGAAAGGTTGTGAATATAGAAATGTCTGTTGAAGCATAATTTTCTTAAAAAGTCAAGAAATAAAGAAGAAAATCAATTTTCAGGTATGGGAGTCATGATCCACCAAGATGGACATTGAGTCAGACAGAAATACTAGATTGGCAAATTTTCTCTGTGAACTATTATACAGAAAATAACATTTCCATGAAACAAAAATTTTAATCTACACATTCTAACAGCCATCAAGGTATTTTTGGATTGGACAAGTTATTAAACTTATTAATACCTTCAACAGACACAATCATGTAAAATATGACAAAATCTATCTCTCAGCGAATTTGATTTAAAGCTTCAAATTTTATAATCTGTTCATTATGTATTTAAGCAATTTCAAATGCTAAAAAGATTTAACCTATACTCAGATCTTGTAGCTAGAAACACTGTTTCCCCCCTTACTTCCAATTCATGTGCTATCATCCATTTACACACCCATATTAGATATATGACTCACTGTTTACCTCTGTCCATCTTCCCTTCACTTTGTCCTATAAGTGTCAAATTCTCCAAGTCTCCTTTCCTTATTATATATCCCAGAAATATCAACTTTTGATTCTAAGTGAAAGTGTTCTTTTTGTTTACATTTTCCTTGAAACTTCCTTGTTGATCACATGCTCCCTATATGGTATTCTCAGCATCCTTTTTTTAGAACCTCATCATGAACTTGTCTCTAATTTTTACAGGTTTCAGGAGAATTGATGTTTGTTTAAGAGAATTTTGAAGAGATTGGAATAATAGTGATCTGAAGTTGCAGTCAGGTGAGTACTGTGTGTGTTGTAGAACATCCCAATCAAACTGTACAAATTTCTGCATTGATAACTTTTATTCTGCATGTATATCCATAGAATTCACTTTACTAGTTACATATTGTAAACTGGTAAACACTGGTCCATTCTTCTTATTTGAAATGAATGTATATTGAGTCAACAAAGAGTGAAATTTTGAGAAAATTAAAAGAAAGGACACAATGTTGTGTTTGTGTATATTTTAGGTGTCCATGTGTTCACATGTAAACAATTAGAGAAGAAGCATATAAAAACTTGGCTTTCTACTACTGTTTTTATATAAATGGTCATGAAACAAAGTTCTCAATGTTTCTTTTCTTTTTCTAGTCCAGAAGTTATGGTAAGTAAGTATAAGCATTATTATAATGATTGTCCTCAAATCAGCCTTGTGCAGAGTTGGAATGACCAAAGAAAATTTGATACTTATTGGTTTAAGCATAGTTATAATGATTGAACTCAAGTCAGCTTTATAGTGTGTTGGAATGACCAAAGAATGGTTGATTTACTGGATGTTTTAGAATACGTGTGCAAACACCATGTGTTGGGAAGTGGAAAGAGAATTCAGTCATCTGTTGGCCATGTAAAAAAATGTATTCCAGCAGGGACATAATTTTCATGTTCTGTTATATCTTGGAGCAAGGGGGCAAAAAAGAGAAAGGAAGGAAAATGTTTATATTTTTATAGATTTAAACAGCACCACCTAATGGACGTTTGGTGAAGCCAAGTAGGATAATAAAATTTCCAGTTCCTTTATTATTTTTAATTACTGTATTTCTTTTTCTTTTATTATTTCATCATTATTATTTTATTTATTGATTTTATTTCATTTTTCAACAGTAACCTTGACAGGAAATAAAAAGAAAATCACCTGATTAAGACACCACTACCAACTAAAATGCATACGTAAGCTCTAGGCCGATGGTATTACCAGATAATTGTTTGATTTAATCCAATCATTCCTATCAAATCATGAAATGGAGGTCATTTTGAATGGGCTTGCTTCCAGATATTTTCACATGAATGCAGGTGTCCTCCAAGGCTCTATCTTGGGTCTTACATTTTCATCAATGATCTTCCTGATGTCATCAATTCCCAAGTAGGCATTTATGCTGATACTACCATATAATCCTGTCTCAATAGCAAATTCACCAGAGCTAAGAAAGTTAACTTGGCTGACTGCTACTCTTGAAAAGAACCTCCAATCAGAGGTTAATTGAGGCAGGAAATAGCTTGTAAATTTTAATGCTTCTAAAAAGAAAATGCTCTCATTTAACAATCATAAAGAACCTTTCTGCCTGCCATAAGCATGGCTGATGCTAGACACTAGGAGAGCAAGACACTATACTATGCCTTCTTGGCCTCCCATTTTGAAATGACTTGAAGTAGAATGATTACATCGAAACATTAGCTGCATCTACTGCAAGAAAAGTTGGGTCACTGTGTTGTGCCAGAAGGTTTTTCCTGTCCATTTTGCACATTTAAAAATCTACCATTCATCTATGCATTGAGTACTGTTGCTATGTTTGGTCTGGTGCATCTGCTATTCATCTCAAGGTCCTTGACAAAATCCAAAGAAGGATCTGCAATGTAATTGATCCTGAATTGTTATCTCAATTTCAGTCAATTTCTCACTGATATGACATGGCTTCCTTCTGTCTTTTCTACAAATACTTTCATGGCAACTGCTCTGACAAGATGTTTTCCCTGTGCCTGAACAATGTGAGTTTAAGTGTGCTACTAGATTGGCCTCTAGGTTCCACCCTTTGAATGTTGATAAATACAACTGCGACTTCTACTCCAACAGTTTCTATTCTCATACTTCATTCCTGTGGAACTTGCTTCCCTGATAACTACAATCTTCAAAAATTTAAATGTAGCATCTTCTGTTTTCTTGAACCACATTCTGTTTTTGTCCTTTCTTTTGGTCCCCCTTATACCCAATTATTTTGTACCACCTTCATTCTTTTTAACCCCTTGAATACCAGTGGCATTCCCATTTTGCTTGAGGTGAAAAATAATCAACATTCAACACTACTTTGAATAAAAAGGTTAGAAATTAAACCCCCATCAGTACTGGAAAGATCAATAATAGCTACTGGACTTGAGAAACCTATTTTTTCCTGAAAATTTGACTTGAGAAACCTATTTTTTCCTCAGTACTGGCTGCTCCGTAAATGAATGTTGAATGTTTCCTTATAAAGAAACAGCTAATATTACCATTACCATTATCATTGTCATCTAAATGTTTGGCATACAATTACAGTGTGTCATTAAGTTCCTCCTATAAAATACTGGTATATTAATTTAATGTTCTTTTCAAACAACCATATTTGGTTCAGATATACTTTTCAGTATTAAGGCTGTAACATAAACAAATATAACATAAAAAAATATTTAATATTATATGTTTTTATTTCATAAATAATTGTATAAAATATAGCCTTCAGTTTGTGTCCAAACAGATATGTATGGGGATTTTTAGAAGATGTACAGCCTATTATTTTGCTATTAGTCACTCTAATTGAAGACAATGAAAAACATTATCATGATTTTGCATTCAATTATTCATATTTTAATCTAATAATCAGGTTTATTATAAACTAAGTTAATTATTTGTCTATTTTTCATTTTTATTTCTCTTTTCTGATCTTTGCTTGCTTTTTTCTGGTTTTTAAAACTGCTTCTCAACTGAAAAATTGACAAAATTATTTTGCAATTAAATAAGATCTTTTGTATGAGTTAATTTTCATTGTCTTGGATGACAGCATTTGAGATTGTTGATTCTCTTCTGTCAAGGTTTACAAAGGGAATAATAGCTTTCAGATTCTATTGCTTCAACATTTAGATGTTATCTGTTAAGATATATCATGATAAGACACAGATAATATTTCATTATTAAATGATATTTTTTAGATGATATTTTGTCAAGATATCTCATGATGCTACACAGAGCAGGGAGAAGTGGATTCATGCCTTTCAAATGAAATTTGAACTCAGTGTAATGATTTGACATAAAAGCCTTTTGAGGTTATTAACCCATTCATTCATTTTTTTACAGATTTCCAAAAACTAAACAATGTATTAAGAAACAGGTAAATTTTATTGAAAACAAAGAAAAGAGTGCTGAACTGCTATGTAATATCAATCCTCTTATATGACAGTGTGGTATGGATTATCTCCCCTTATATGTATTCTGTATTTAAGTAAGTCCAGTAGGACACATTCCATTCTAAGTTGAATGAAGCTTCAGTTAAGTTACACCAGCATTCAAATTCTCACTACAGACAGTGAATGCTAGACAATTTCCTCAAAGATGAAGGGGAAACTTGTAGCAACAGTGATGTGGTTCTACAAAGAATACCATGAATGGAACATATGAGCAATGAGAAAGTTTTAAGGAAAAATAAAAAGAACACTTGTACTTAGAATGCAATAAAGACTCTTGAATTTTTTGGGACACATAATAGAGAAAGAGGGCTTGGAGAATTTGATACTCACTGGACATATTGAAGACAAGAGGGGAAGAGGAAAATATTGTACAACCTACCTAATGATTTTATGTAAATGAGTAGCAGAACAGGAACCTTTAGTAAGCAGGCAAATATTATTTAGAGCTACAAAAGATAGGCAGTTGTGGAGAGCCATGATCACCCATGTCCTGAAGAAACAGAAAATAAAGGGAAGAAGTATCTGTTTTAACCCCAGCTACTGACTGCATTTCTTAACAAAAATACAATCATTCCTTACGGACAAAGCAAAGATTACTGAACTTTTCTGTAATATCAATGCTGAGAATACCATGGATGGAACATGGAAGAAATAAGGAAGTCCTAAGGAAAGTGGAGAGGGCTTGGCAAATTTAACACTGAGAGTACATATTGAATGCAAAAGAAGCAGAGCCTACCTAATGAGCATATGTGAATGGATAGCAGATTAGAGAATGGATAGTAAAAAACATTTCT